AGGAGCAGAAGGAAGCCATTCAGTCCTTCAAACCTGCTCTACCATTCTTCATAATCATGGCTGATCATTCAACTCAACAGCCTAATCCTGCTTTCTCCCCATAACCTTTGATCCCAATCACCCCAAGTGCTATATCTAGTCACCTCTTGAATATATTCAATGTTTTGGCATCAACTACTTCCTGTGGTAATGAAGTCCACAGACTCACCACTCTTTGGGTGAAGAAATGTCGCATCTCCATCCTAAATCACCTACCCTGAATCCTCATTCTGTGACCCCTGGTTCTGGAGACACCCAAAATTGGGAACATCCTCCCTGCATCTACCCTGTCCAGTCCTGTTAGAATCTTGAAAGTCTCTATGAGATTCCCCCCTCATTGGTCTGAACTCGAGCAAAAGCAAGCCCAACCTTGTCAATCTCTCCTCATACGTCAGACCCACCATCCCCGGAATCAGCCTGGTAAACATTCGCTGCACTCCGTCAAGAGCAAGAGCATCCTTCCTCAGAAAAGGAGACCAAAACTGCACACAATGTTCCAGGTGTGGTCTCACCAAGGCCCTTTACAATTGCAACAACACATCCCTGCTCCTGTACTCAAAACCTCTCGCGATGAAGGCCAACATATCATTTACCTTTTTTACCACCTGCTGCACCTGCATGCTTACCTTCAGCAACTGGTGCACAAGGACACCCAGGTCCCACTGCACACTCCCCTCTTCCAATTTACAGCCATTCAGGTAGTAATCTGCCTTCTTGTTTTTGCTTCCAATAACCTCACATTTCTCCACATTATACTGCATCTGCCATTAGAACATAGAACATTACAGCGAAGTACAGGCCCTTCGGCCCTCGATGTTGCGCCGACCTGGGAAACCAATCTGAAGCCCATCTAACCTACACTATTCCATTATCATCCATATGTTTATCCAATGACCATTTAAATGCCCTTATGGCGAGTCTACTACTTTTGCAGGCAGGGCATTCCACGCCCTTACTACTCTCTGAGTAAAGAACCTACCTATGACATCTGTCCTATATCTATCACCCCTCAATTTAAAGCAATGTCCCCTCGTGCTAGCCATCACCATCCGAGGAAAAAGGCTCCCACTGTCCACCCTATCTAATCCTCTGATCACCTTGTATGTCTCTATCAAGTCACCTCTTAACCTTCTTCTCTCTAACGAAAACAGCCTCAAAACCCTCAGCCTTTTCTCATAAGACCTTCCCTCCATACCAGGCAACATTCTGGTAAATCTCCTCTGCACCCTTTCCAATGCTTCCACATCCTTCCTATAATGCAGTGACCAGAACTGTACGCAATACTCCAAGTGCGGCCGCACCAGAGTTTTGTACAGCTGCAACATGACTTCATGGCTCCGAGACTCAATCCCTCTACCAATAAAACCAACATACCGTATGCCTTCTTAACCACGCTATCAACCTGGGTGGCAACTTTCAGTGATCTATGCACATGGACACCGAGATCCTTCTGCTCATCCACACTACCAAGAATCTTACCATGACCCTAGTACTCTGTATTCCTGTTACTCCTTCCAAAGTGAATCACCTCACAC